AATATTTTCAGTAATATGAAAACAAAAATAATTTTGAAAATTCTCATTTTTCTTGCGGGTGACAACTACGCACAGGCACCCAGTTTTACGTTCATTCAACCTAGCCTACTTTTTGAAACATCACATTGTTATGAGGGAAGGAGTGAGAAAAACAGAAGACAGTTTTAAACAAACACCAGTTATGATATTAGACCCGATATTAACCGCAGAGATGGGGTTAAGAGGCGGAGCTTCAATAAGATCTTGTGTCCACTGGAACTATGTGCACTTTATTCGTTTTCTCCAGTGGTGTTTGAAATGAGTTAATTTGTTTATGGTGATTTTTCTCTCCACTTTACAATCTTTACGTTCAACCTGTTAGTGAGAAACAGGTAAGAAAATTTCAAAATTTTCATTAAATAATCAATTGAGGACTAGTGACTGATTTTTAAAAAGATATTTCCTATATAGGATTCCATAAAATAGGTGAACTGTACACTACATCGTAAAATATTTAAGTATTTTTTCAGATTTTAAGAACAGTGTTGAAACATTCTAACCATTAGGATCCCAGGTTTCTCACTTTTTAGTAATCGAGACTATTTTGTGTTTTCAAATTACGTTTTTGAATGTGGCTCAGATGAAGGATGGTGAACATTAAAAATAATTCTTCCTAGACTAATTTAATATCCATTTTTTGCTCTGCTGTCAAAAAATATTTCTGTGAAATGATAAACCAAAGCGATTCGAATTTTTGTTTATTTATACGTTCTTCAAACGAAAGAAATTCGTTATTGCTGGCTATTAAAATTGAAAATTAATAATATAGTTTCAATGAATTGCACACGCAACACATGTGGGGCCATTGCTAGAAGATTAATGGAATCTTTGTTTGTTTTTAGAACTCGTAAATGGATTATACGGAATCTGACTAGGGTACTGAGATTTCGATCACTTTTAGTTCGAAAGACGAGAAAAATAAAGTAAGTGAAATGTATAGACTTGGAAGTAATTCTAGGTGATCAGAAAAACCTAAGGGAGCTTTAAAGACATTAATAGGCCCACCCACCTACCTGTCACAATAAATTCCTTAGTGCTTTCAATAGAAAATTGTGATGATTTTTTGTGGAAAATTTTTTTGAAGAGGCCATAATTTTTGGGGGAGGGGCTGTGGCTTTCCTGGAGTCTCTCTTACATCTACCACAGATCTTTTTTTTTCTGAAAGACTGACTTGTCAATGTTCAAAGTGATTCAGATAAGTACTCGTACTTCAAAAAATGTTTCAAGGGAAAGGTCATTAATTGGATTTTTTGGTTTTCCTCTCTGATATTCGAATGTTTCACAAGAAAAATGCTGAGAGCTATTTGTTGAAAATATTTGACCTCCCTCTAATTTTTTTTATACCAAGTTCTTTGACCTTTCAGACTGAAATATACGCTATGGGTGAGATGATGCTTCATGAAAACCAAGTTTACAGGGACGTAAATTACAATGATTACTTCAACTACCAGAGTTTTATGGAAAATCCTCTACCGACGATGCAAGCCCCAAATTACACTCAATATTCTGTGAAGAATCTGCTGAATTTGGTGGACGATGCTCACAGAAAGGATTCGTCTTTCGATTTACCAGCTATAACGGACCAATGGATTCCTCCAGCTCTTCATCAGCCATTGCCTGTTGGTATGAAACAAAATTTTGGTCCACAGTGGCACAATTTTGTAGCAGACGAAAGAGCAAAGACTATTCCAAATTTTCCAAAAGAAATTAGGCCAGTTTTTACCGATGCCTCTCTTGGTAAGTTGAAATTTTGGATTAATAGCGTTTTTAGAGTTCGAAAGGAAATAATAACCAAACGTAAAATTAAGCTCACAGAGCCAAAAATTGTTAGTTGCCGCTCTATTTTCCTGAATAACAACTCCAGGTTTTTAATATTTTGTGTAAGTTTCAAAACTGAGCACAACTATGGATCTTTTACTATCATTCATCTGTTTAGGTTCAATCTCTACGTCAGAGTAAATGGGAAATATCTGCCTTTAAACTCTTACTGGGGCCTCTAAGGCTAAAATTTAAGTTTCATTCGATTTTATCATAGGCTCTGTTTAAAAATTAAGAATAATTCAGGTGACTGTGTCTACGATTTTCTACGAAAAAACCTATTCTGAAGTCAAGGGTGCTGTGATTTCCTAAGACTTCTCAGGAGTGACTCCCAAGTAAACTAGAAATGTCCCTGTACTTGAGAAACATTTTTGATGCCTATTTCAAACATGTTCAAAATTTCAGTATGTTAGACGATGCTAAGAAAGTGACGATTCAAATCTTTCAATTTTTCATGACTTTTTTCACAAAATTGAAATCAAGAGAAGATGGTGGTCAGTTGTCTC